AACCATTTATTATGTGTAATTTTGTTTCAATTGATCTATTATACATGTCCCTTTTGTTATTTATCATGCGTATATAGTTTCATCTATGTCTGCTGCACCACATTATGTGAAAAATTGGCAAATTTCTTTGCAGGATATGTTGGTGGGCTCCAGTGACACATCATCAGTTATGGTCGAGTGACGGTCGAGTGGGCACTGTCCGAGCTTATGAGGCATCCAAAGGCAATGAAGAAAGTCCAAAAGGAGCTAGAAGATGTTGTTGGATTGGGGAGAATGGTGGAGGAATCAGACTTGGGGAAATTGGACTATTTGAGCATGGTAGTGAAGGAAACCATGAGGCTACACCCAGTTGCGCCATTGTTGGTTCCTCATGCAGCCACTGAAGACTGCACCGTCAATGGCTACCACATACCCAAAAAATCGCGCCTTATCATAAAAGCTGTTGCGCCATTGTTGGTTCCTCATGCTGCCACTGAAGACTGCACCGTCAATGGCTACCACATACCCAAAAAATCACGCGTTATCATAAACGCGTGGGCAATCGGGAGAGACCCGAGTGCTTGGACCGATGCAGAGGAGTTCATACCAGAAAGATTTGAGGGTAGCGATGTTGATGTTAGAGGAAATCACTTTCAGCTTATCCCATTTGGCTCTGGCCGAAGACGTTGCCCAGGAATTCAGTTAGGCCTTATTGTGGTCCAGTTAATGTTGGCACAACTTGTCCATTGTTTTGATTGGGAACTTCCGAATAACATGTTGCCAGAAGAATTGGACATGACTGAGGTGTTTGGCATAACGGTTGCAAGGGCAAAACGTCTAATTGCTATTCCTTCCTATCGCCTTCACAAATGATCATAATCTGTATGCAATGCCTCATTTCGTACTGTTGGAGAACTAAACCAAATATGCTTGATCATTGCATTCAAGAAGTTTTAATGTGTTATATTGAGACTTTTCTTATTCTCTTTTTTAATAAGCTCATGTATTAATTACTGAGTCAGTTTTATGTATTAGTAGGATGATGAAGATGTCCTTAAATAGGTATGTTACCAATGTTATTTGGGAACTGAATTTAAATGAAAGAGCCTATTCTCCCAAGAATGTAGTGTCTATTTGTGTTGTTTATTTCTCTTCCTCCTACATGTACTTGTAATATTTTGCTGTGTCGTTTTTGTTTTCTTCACCTGAGAGAACATTTATAAAAAAAAATGGAATAAATTAAATAAAATCGCGTTACTTAAGTTTTAGGGTCTCTTTCTCCTTTGGTTTACAACGTAGATAGATTCTTGAAACCAGACACAAATCAGCCAACTTTTTTTTTTCTTTTTATATGTGCTTATGGTTAACCGAGAGGCCCAAGAGCAAATAACAACCCAACTGATGTCCAGGAGGACAGCTGGGAGCAGAAAAGATAAGCCCAGATTTTGTAAACATCAGGCACCCCATGTCCAATTCTTTCTGTAGCGATGTCAAATTCCTGCAGTTGCTGTTCTTTTTGCTGCAGTCAAGCTGCCCACCCAATCACTGAAAGAGCTACTCAAGTCACCATGTCTGTATAGTTAACCACGGCAAAAAATATATATACATAAAACCACGGCAAGTAACATGTCCTTTTCTATTCTGTCACTACTACAAATTTGATCTCAAACAACACACCATAGCTAGGCATATAGGGAAAAAAAAAAATTGATGCCATAACGCATTAGGCATCGTTCGCTAAAGTAACAGAGTCTTATGTATTTAAAGACTTCACCACTTGGTACTATAGATGACTTTTGTGCATTATAACGTCATCGTTTTTACCAAAATTTACGGAAAAAGTTATTAATTGGAGAGTCAGATTCTTTGTTGTTAGATCGTCTCAAAGGTAGATTTAAAAACATATTAATTTGTTATAGTTTTTAAAAACAAATGAGGGCCGTATAATTTTTCTAGATTTTTAAGAAGTCACTACTACAAAATTGCTATAAAGCTACATTTCGAAGAGCACGCGTGCCTTTTTCGACCTCATTTAACAGGTCTTAGATGATGCAGGAGGCAGTGCAAAAGCTCCTTCTTTAAAGGAATTCAAGAAAAGCAAATCGAAATTATCATCGTCATCGGGAGCTCCGATCATAGTTTCTTACTTCCCCCATATATAATTCCTGTCGCCCTCGATTGTGATTGTGATTATTTTGCTGCGTGCAAGCAAAAGCAAGTTCTGAATTTGAGTATGCCTACTATATGCCTAGCAGAGGAGTATGGAGGAGAGTTGCTAGAGCCTCCAACTTTTTCCCTTTCCATGGTAACACCACCTAAACACCAACTAGTGCCCTAGGACCTCTCTATTTGCATTCAAAGTTGACACTCTGATACCAATTGAAATTGTTACTTAGGTGGAAGGGGTGAATTTAAAGCTTACTCAAACATATTGTTAACAACAATAATCAAATAATTTTGGAGACAATATAACTAGTCAACAACAAGTCATAGGCCTATGAACAAGTAAGCAAAACACATAAGTAACCCAGATCAACAATCAGCACCTGCAAACCTAGAAGAATTCTAGTGACAACCTAGGCATTCAGAAGGACCCATCAATCTAGGCATCCCCTGTGCTAGCAACAACTAAAGTGTAGAGTGTGTGAACATCCATTCAATCATAATAGAAATACTTAGCAGATTATGACTAGTCAACAGTCAAGAACATTAAACCCAGAAAATTGTTCACCCAGAAACCCACTATTGGGAAAAACTGGGGGTCATCATCCGACCAGGCAATCCACTAAGAAAAGAAGGTTCTTACAAATATTACAACCACAAGCTCAAGAATCCTAGGTGTATTTAGGAAAAGCTATACCTCTTTGTGCAACCTTCTTCTCCAAGCTTAGAAAGAACTAGCAGCTAGTCTTTCATGGAATTGGCAGCTAGTCCATCAGCTTCTTCACTCCATGGCACCAGCGACTCAGCTCTCAAAGAACACAAGAAGGCAACTGTAGATTCTAGGGAAAAATTGATTTATTTAAGAAACCATTCTTAAAGAAATTGATTTGAGAATCTGACCTAGATCTAGATGAGAATATGATTGACTATTCTAGATGCATATTTTAATCTTAAAAGCATGTTTCAAATGCAAGTTGAAAATCTCATTTTGAAAGAAACATCCCTTACTTAGAGAAGAGTTGCAGAGCAAAAATGGAAAACTCTCAAAACCTTTTTCTAAGCAAGTGACAAATCAGAGGCCTTTTTGCTCTCATTTTACCCTAAATAGGTGTTAAGGCCCAAAAAAGTCACGGGAAGCCCAAAGAGGTTTAAAGCCCAATATAACATATAATGTTGGTCATGCATTAATCCAAGCTGTATTTTGGGAATTAATTCATAAATAAATAATAGTGTCCATGCCATGCGAAGCCAATAATACATTTTTCATATGTCAATCACCTATCAAGCTCACATGAACCCAAGTCATGTGGTTTACGGGGCTTGCACGAGGGATTGTGGTGTGGAAGGTTACGGAGGTCCACAAGGCCCACGGAAGCTCTTGGATAATGGAGACTTTGGGCTAGCTACTTGGGAGCACTAAAGTCCAAGCCCATTACTTAGAGTTCTCCAATGTGGGTGAGCAAATGAGATATTTTTCAAAGCACTTCCTTTTACCCTTAGGAAATAGTCATTTTCCAAATGTCTGGCTTTACCCGCTGGAAATAAGAATGTCCCAATGCTCCTTATTACCCGCTGGAAACAAGCCAAGTCCAACACTCCCTTTTACCCATAGGAAATAGTCATTTTCCAATACATAGCTTTACTTGCTGGAAAATAGCATGCCCAAGTGCTCCCTTTTAACCACTGGAAATAGGCTGGTTTCAGCACCTCCCTTTACCTATTGGAAATAAGGGAAAACCCTCACCCTCTATAAATTGGGAGGCATTTGCTGGGCAAAATCAACCTCTCTTGGTTGCTGCAAGCTTCTTAGCAACTGCGAGAACTCATCTTCCTTTCTCCCTTCGGCTGCTACAAGCATTCCAGCGGCCATCCCAGCCATCAACCTCCATTCTTTGGCTGTTGCAAGCATCCCAGCAGCCATCGACCAACATCTTTTAGTTGCTTAAGCACCCCAGCAACCATCAAGCCACTTTCCTTCTTCCCTTCGGGTGTTGCAAGCATTCCAGCGGCCATCCCAGCCATTCCTCAACCATCATAGCCATGTCTCCTACTTTCTCACCCTTGAAATTCATCTCCTCTATAAAGCCTCACCAAGCATAACTCCAAGCTTTTCCTTCCTTCCCAGCTATAAACACCTTAGCCTTCAAATCTCAAGCTTTTCCTCCCATCCTCCTT